TGGAATATACACATGGAGCACTGCTGTGACAAAAACAGGACCAATATTGCAAATGAACAAAGAACTCGTCCTGCCATTTGCAGCCAGAATGTGAAACTTTTTTTTTTTTTTCCAATGTATGAACCACTGTGCATGGACTCTGGGCTTGACACAGGTAGACCAGTTTTTAGTTTCATATACACTTTGACTGTGAACACAGTCAAGCAGCTGAATAGCCTGTTAGCTAATTTGTTTTTCCAGCTTCCTGGCACACAGCCTGGTTTCTGGGAAATCTCTGATATTTCACATTTTTCAACATATTTGAGGCAAAAACAAGACATTCTAGTCTGATAGCTAGCTTTATTATTTTTAATTTCAGTTATGTATCGTACTTATATCCTGTTGCTTTTCTATGAGGAACTGCAGTTATTCTCATGTTATGTAATTTTGTTTTCTGAGTAATTTCTGGTCCAAAAAATTCTTCAGGATTTGTAAAGTTTTATCTGAATTCCCATGCTGACTGTAAAAACAAAAAGGAAAAACAAACAAGCCCTAACTGTAGAAAATGTCCACATCAAAAATCTGTATTTTTAGATCTAGTAATTTGGTAATAATTTAAGTGTCACCATAAAATTACACCATTTTCCTGTATTTAACAGTTAAATGTGTGTAAATGTTTTTACAGTTTTTGAACATTACAGCATTTTAAAATCTTTTTTTTCTGGCATCCTTGCTGAGAGATTTTCACAGTTTATTTACAGATGTTTTTTTCTTTTACAGTGCAGGTTGTGGGCTTTAAGAGCTTTCTTTCTTTTAACAGCTTCCTGCTAGGCCAGGAAAACAACTGCTTAAAAAACTGCAAAATAGTGTGCAGGAAAAAAACAAAACCAAGAATCAGGCAAATGGTGGCGTCTGGTCTTTTATTATTAGAACTCAGAAGTATGAGAAAACTCTTTCCTGCTGCACCAAGTCATTTGATCTGGTGCTGTTCTAAATATATTGATCGTGGCAGCTTGAAGGCAGGTGTTGTGGGCTTAGCTAATCTGGTTTATAGAGAACAAACAAAACAAACAAACGTCTTGGTTTATTACTTCAGTTTCATGGTGCAGATTCCCAGATGAAAACTCAGCTGACATGCAGAAAACTTTGGGGCTGGTTTGTGTTATTCTGTCACAGGCGCGCTGCTTGGTGTCTGTAATGAAGCTGTGGGGCGCTCTGCTGTGCGAGCTGCACTTAGTGGGGCTTTTGGAGGCCACAGGGCACATAGGAAATGCTCAGGGGGGTCTTACAGCAGAGTTGTGCCCGCTCACAGGTTAATCCAGCCGTGCCATGTAAACATGTAGCTGGAGCTTGTAAAAACTGCAGCTATGAACCTTTATTTAATCCCTATGACTTGCCTCAACTCTCCTCCAGCAGCCAGTCCTGTGCGGCTGATCCAGTATTGATTTCATCTCGTACACGTCCTAAAAGACTCAAGTGTGTCCAGGCTTAAGACGAGCGCACAAATGATGCTGTTAGTGATACAGCAGCAGAGATGGGGATAACAGTGGTGGTTGTGATGCTCGGCCAGGTACGGCTGGCAGCGCTGGAGGTGCTGATGGGTCGCTGGCTGCACGAATCAGGGCCGTCTGCTGTGTAAACCCTGCAGCACATGTTCCAGCGAAACATCTCGGGGAGTATTTATTTTAACAGGACAAATGATACTTCTATTTCTCTCAGGAGGAATGTTAAGGCTAAATGATTCCCTTTAGAAGGAAAAACACCGGGGCTGGAAGGAGGGAGGTGGAGCGATGAGGAGGAGGCTCGACTGCTTGATTTCAGTTTGGACGAGGAAATCTGTGCAGTCGTGCAGCAGTGATGATGGATGCTATTAGGGAGCTTCGATAAAAGCTGAATTGTATGTATTTATTGTTTTTGCCTAAAGGTTTCCTCTGCTTTGATTGTGCCAAATGTGCCGTTCAGTGCACCCAATGTGCCCCCCACATGCACACACACGCACACACACACACACACACACACACACACACAGATGTATATATATATAAACACAAGTTTCTACATTTGTTACAACAGTTTCTGGCACTTTTTGCTCCTGTCACATTTTTCCTCACTGTGGCCTCATTTTTCATTGCAACATAAAGTCCTGCACCTCTATGGAACTCAGAAATGTCTTCTGTGCAGTATGAAACAATTATAATACCATAAATCATGAAAGAAAATAACAAAAATGAAAGTTGAATTTCTTTTATAATTCATTTAAAACCCAGAATAAACATGTACAACAGTTTTCCAAGAGGTTTTACCAGTGCTACATCCTAATCAAAGTCTACATCCTATCAATTAAGTCTACATCAAGTCTACATCCTATCAATTTTTTACGTCTTGAATAGTTATCTATCGCCTCTGTGTAAACACAACCTGCAGTTCAGACGAAAAGTCCTGAAACTTCACATGACTGTTGCTGAGTCACTTGTGGTTTTACAGAACAGTAGAACCGTACAAATGCTTTTATTTCGAGCAGATTTGGTTATGTTCTCCGATAGAACAACGTGTCACACATGATTTATTCATGGACCGTCGGAAAGTTAAAAATTCCAATATTCTGTCTTTACAGTTTCTGGCTCTGATAAATGGTGTAATTTTGGTGACCTTTAAAAAACAAACATGACTTTCATACCTGCCAACTGGTTTTGGGGATCAGAGGGTTACTCATTATAATCTCAGTACTTACCAGTTATTAATAAAACAGGATCACAAACGTGGTCGTATTCACACTAGTTACTACTAAATATGTACACCCAGTATGTGGTACGTAGTTAGCAACTGACAAACTTAGCATAAGCTTTTTGGATATAAGTGACTAATTGGAAATTGCTTAATTGCTGTTAATAATCTGATCGATTAAAAACATATTAACCAATAAGGCAGCAGACAAGGGGCATGCATGTCAAAAAATGTATTATAGATTTGCTGTAGTACCTGGTGGTTCCACCAGGTGGAGCTTATTACTGTTTAATGTGATGGAGTTACAGGTGTGTTTGCTGACGACCAATAAAACAGGCACACCTCCCTGCTTTCTAACTGCTACCTGCAGCTGTCTTGTTGTGAAAGGTGTCTGTTGGTTGCTGATTTAGTTCGCGAGCTGAGGATAATGCTAAGCTAGTATATTCAAATGCTAACACGGACTGACAGTCTGTCAGGAGAGACGCTGCTAACGTTCAGGAGCAGCAGGACTCTGATCACAAGCTTTCAACAACATTAAAACTAAAGTAATGAAAAGTGTTGGCGATGCTCTGAGTAGCAGTTTAATTTAAAGGTCAAGTTTGAAAGAGTCATTATTTTTATGCTATTTAAATTTCATGCAGCGTAGTGTCTTATTCATCTATTCTTCAAAATTTTAATGCAATCGAGTATATTTTAAACATCATGTCAAGTGGTTGAAACCATTTTATCAGCCTATGGAAAAATGTTCACTGTATTTATTACAGTTCCAAGATTAATACATACTTGTTGGTAACATGGTCGACTATCAGTTAAGGAAGTTGTTTAAAATGTTCTTACTTAGGTAGCTTGCTCGTATAAGATCCATTAGGGTGAGGATTAATCAGGAACATCGTCTATACATCTGACACTTGACCGAGGAGTATTCACATGAATTGCAAAACTCTGTGCTGCGATATCAGAATAAATGACACAAACTATAGATCTATAACTGTTTTAAACACTTGTTTTCCCACATATGCACGTATGAACAGCAAAGAAAGTTGCAGTTACATTTACAAAAATGGCACCTAAGTTACAGTATATAGGATTTTTAAATGTTTTGATTTGTGCTACAACTTGTGATGCCACAGTGGCCTGTTATTTCTACAGCTGCAATAATGAACTAATAAGGTGTCAAATATTAAATCAGTCACCAAATATTGTGATAGCTGATGATCGATTTGAGAATTTAAAAAACAAAAAAACTAAATCCTTTGTCTCTAGCTTCTTAAATTTAATTTTTTTCTGGTTTCTTTCCCCTTTTTTCACAATAAGTTGAATATATGTTTCATTTAGGGACATCTTCTTGAGTTTTGGGAAATACTGATGGACATTTTCACCGTTTTCTGACATTTAATAGGTCAAACAGTGAATCAAGAAAATAATCAACAGATTAATCGTCAGTAAAATTGTTTGTTGCAGGCACAGTTGTTTCCTTTTATTGCACAATACAGCTGCTTCTTAGAACTCAGTTTAATGGTGTGATTTGTACACCAGTTTGGATCTAGTCATTTTTGAGGAGGCTACATGCATAACTTCTGTAGTCTAACCATAACCCTGCACGTATATAAATCAAGCTTAAGTATGTAATTAGGGAGAATTATACGCGCAAACTAAGTTAGAATTTACGAGAAGCTGGTGTAAACCAATCCAGTAATCGACTCGTATTTCTACACAGACCAGGTTAACGGTAATAATAACTTTTAAACCTCACTGTCTGACCCCACATGTACGCACACCTCCCCTTAATTCACAACACATTGACTTTTAGCAGCGCTGCCTCAACCGGCACCGAGCTGCCTCTTAACACAAACCCTTTTGTCAGGAGCTCTATAAAAACTACCATGTCGGGGGAGAGGAAAAAAAAAATGTAAATACATGTGAAAATATGCTGCGGGACTGGCAGAGGGTTTGCAGTCATGAGAGGGCTTGTTGGGAGAGCGATTTGTTTTAATGAAAAAGTCATTCCTAGGGAGAGGAAAGGGTCCGGCTGCAGGCTGTTTGTGCTCGGCTTAAGTTTCTCCTCTGTAATAAAAGCACCAGGACTTATGTGTCCACATGTGTGTGGGTTGACCGAGGAATAAAGGAGACAAAGTAAGCAGTCAATCACTGAAGCTGGCAGAGGAGCTGTCTGGAGTCGCTTCATCCACTGAGCACATCTTATAGCTTGTTCTGGATTTGACAAAACAGACGATGAGCATGCAGAATATTGGGTCTTTCCTTGTTCTGTCACTGATGCCTTTGCGTTTCTCTTGCAGACTGTGGTGGATCCAGACTGTGGGGGATGGCGTGGCCTGACGAAGCAACCCTCTTGCTACCTTCCTCCCTGCAGCTCGCCGACTCTGAACCTCCGCTGTACTAGCAGGAACCAACGAGCGATCAATATTTTCCTCGTATTCGAGACCCTGTAACGCAACAACGAAACGTGTTGGACATCCGGCGAGGATCGAGAGCCTCAGGGTGGCCCCACCATGAAACCATCCATTTCTGCGGGCCCCAACTCCGGCCTCCTGCTGGTGCTGATGTGCTGCCCCCTGCTGGGCCTGGTCCAGTCCGCCAGCAGCAACAAGGCCAGTGATAACGGGCACCCCCACCTGGGAGACGCGGACCCGGAGCGCTGCATGAGGCACCACTTTGTGGAGACCATCACGCACCCGATTTATAAATGCAACTCCAAGGTAAAGACACGAATGCACACTGCTAGAATGTAAAAGCTGTTCAAGCTAGCGGGCTCTTTCCAGACATCTCAGAAACAAGAAGCTCTGGCCAAAAGAATCCTTTAACACTAACTGAACAGTGGTTTATTTGACAGAGTTCTCTCTTTCTGCTGGTGTTAGTCAAGTCCGTTTATTTGCACAGCACATTTAAACACAACAACATGGTGACTGAAATGCTGCATAACATCAGACTGAACTAAAACAAGATCAGATCATTTACAGGACCAGCCATTAATACTGTACTCTGTAGATGAAATAGAAACCGAGACTAATCTGGGACTGCCAACAAGAAAAGTTATGTTTTTTAGTTGAAATTTAAAGCTGACGACCTGATCTGGAAGGTTACAACTGAGAAATCCTGAGGTGCAACAGTTCTGACAGACAAGCTGAGGCTTCTCCTTTCAAGCACTTGTAAAAGAGCAGGACAATTATTTCATTAATCCTATACTGAACATGTAGCTAATGTCTGGATAGAAGAAACACGTAGACCACAACAGCCACAGCTGCTCCGCTTGGTAGCAGTAATATGCCAAGTTTGCACGTCATATTGATTTACAGAAAGACGATGCTGCTCTGAACCAGGATATCTTTGAAATAGGCTGCAATTGTATCCATGTGTTGAAGGAAACTGGAAACTAGAGATTGAGACCATAAACACATCAGGAAAATGTTTACTGAGGTAATAGATCAAGTGAGAGGTAGGTTCATTGTCTGATTGATTTCTATACAATCTGGTTTCTTTTTGCAACCGCAGGAGTCGCCCCCTGCTGGCTGTTGCAATTTTAAGGCACTTTCCAGACCCAGAGACTGCACTGTAAAAAAAAAAAAAAAAAAAAAAATTAAATCTGGCAGCAAGGTCACCAGAAAACTATGTTAAAAGACAGTGAAATACTGTACTGAATACACTGTACTGTGAAATACATAAAGNGCTGTGAATAAAACAAGGCATTTGTCATTTAGGCTTTGGAGACACTGATCAACATTTTTCAAATTATTTGGACATTTTATAGCTCAAACAAGTAATCTGCAGTCACAAGGGTTATAAGTCGCAGCCATGAATGTAGTTGGAAAAGCTTCTAGTTTGAAAGAGCAACAAAATCAGATAATCGTGGTGTTTTATTAAAATCACTCTGTTCTGCATGTCTCATTTAAAAATGTGCTAAAAATAAACTAACATATTCTGTAAAAACAAAAAAAATCTTAATTTCTTGGTGCAACCCGCAAAGTCATGACTGTTTCAGCTGTGACAAATGGTCATGTGAAAAAAACTGTGAAGGTTTTCAGCTGAACTGTGGACAGTGCATAAAGAGAATGGACAGATTAACCAACAGTGGTAGTAATACTTAGTTATAGCGCTGATATCCATGTAACAATCTTCCCAGAAGCACCACTCCATATCCAGTCCTCTGTCCTTCTTCATTTTAGCAGATTAACTTCTTTTCTTTTTTCTTTTTTTTTTTTTTTGAAGCAACAACAGTCTAGTTCAGGGGTCGGCAACCTGCGGCTCGCATGTGGCTCTTTCATACCTCTGCTGTGGCTCCTTGTGGCTTTAGAAAATAAATAGAGTGTTTCATTTAAATTGATTTTATTTTAGTTTGTTCGTTTTTAAAAATGTAAATCTAAATTTAAAGAAGTGATTTTGTAATATTGTATTGTCAACTTGGTGACTTTCTCACTAAATCTGGTACTTTCCAAGTCCTCTTGTCCTCGTGACAAATCTATTGACTCTTTCTGGTGTTACTGGAGACATTTGTGGTGTTTTGGAGACTCTGACGTGAAAACACGTATCGTTCTGTAGTTACTGTCCTCAGGGAGCGGCGGGTGCTGCTGTGAGCTCCTCCTGTCTCAAAGCGCTCACAGGCGGTCAGGAGTCTGGTCAGCAGTCCCAGCTGCAGTCAGCAGGCGTCATTTCATTTTTAATTTGCTGCAGGTGGATGATTTAAGTTCGGCTTTTTATTTCATATATACAAGGAGGACTCAAACAGACATTGAGTATTTTATTTGAAACCTTCAACCCAGGGCCTTTTTTTGGAGTTCAAAATGTTTTTGTTGCATGCAGAAATAAAATTTCGTTTTCTCTGTCGCAGTTCATTGATTTCATAAATGCAACACACTGTAGTTTTTTTTTTTTTTTTAGATATATAACATAAAGGTAAAAAACAATATATGCAGGGTTATCTTCATTTTAGATGGCAAAAGGGTTTTGTGGCTCCAGGTGTTTTCTTTTCCGTATGAAACGGGTCCACATGGCTCTTTGAGTGTCTCGTTGCTCTTTTCTACCACATTACCACATGTATTCTCCCTCCACTGAGCTCTCAACATGGACTGCTGTTACTGAAGTCCAGGTGGAGGCTTTAGGACGACAAAACTGAGCCTAAAACGTACCCGAAACCACAACCTCCTGTTCCCTGTCCCAAACCATGTGCTCTTTGTCAAATTAAAACGTATCTGAATGGATTTTAACAGAGATAAAGTGGCTTCGTGCTCCAAAAAATTCTTCACCTCATCAAACGGAAAGTTTGACTTTCTAGGTGGAGGTTTTACTGGACAGATTCTGGCCTCACAGCAGCAGCAGTTATTGTACAATAGTCATCAAGTGAAGTTGTTTACTTTAATCGAGCTGAAATTTCACGGGTAATTCACAACGAATGACTTGTTGTATTTGGTGAAGCTCTGCTGCCAGCATAGTTGCGTTTTATAATGAAAACAGCAAGGACCCAAGGTGACACGAGGAGTCTGGATCCAACGCTCCTCCCAAACATAATCACTCCACATCAGCAGAGTGGTACGAGAGTTTGGAGACGATCGGTGATGGAAAAGGAGCGATTGGTTTTGGGAGGAACAAGTGGAACAGAAAGGGGATTTATTTTTGGATATGTATCAGAAAGACAAGGTCAGTTTGATTGATGATGGGGTTGCTTCCAACCGATACATCCAGGAAAGATGCAGACCGTAACGGGCTTTAGTTTGAGGGTCATTATATTCGAATAAGATGGCGGGGACGGAGCGGACTGGAGGCTGCAGCTGCTTTCTGTAAACTCTCAGGGTTCAATTGCTGAGTTTCCATAACACTTTTAGCACATTTTAAAGTATTGCATTACAAAAAGTTAATGGACATGGCAAAATATGTACTCCATTTTGCTTAAACTATTAAAAAAAAACAACAAGACAGTAATTTTTAACAGGTTGTTTGACAGATTTCCCTGTTTTGGTAAATTACAGATAATTACTGGTAAATCACAAGTTTAATTTACGTGTGGACCTAAAATAAAGAGAACGGCAAAAACTGTAAATATTAAAATCCGCAAAAACAAAAGAATATATGTATTATTATAGGGAAAATGTAAGATGTAAGAATTTATTAAAATCAGTGAATTAAAGATTTTTAAAAATTGCCTTTTTAAAAAAAAAAAAGTGTTATTTTAAAGATTTTTTAATTACAGATTCTATTTATTTATCTAGTTAAATCACAGACACATGTATTGATTTACACATTAACTGTAAAAAAATAAAAATAAAAAAATGGCCAAAACTGTAAAAAAATGTCCACAACAATGATATTTTTAATATATTTTTCTGACACCGTTTTTGAACCGTTATTTAGAGAAACTCCTTTCTGAATAACTTTTGATGTTGCAACATTTAACTCATGTGACCAATCAGCTGTTTTCTTTCGTTGTCTTCGCCTCTGAACAGAATGAAACATGGTTGATACCAGCTGACACAAAAGAGTAACTACAACTCGCCTGATTAAAAACAATTCCTGNAAAACTATGTTAAAAGACAGTGAAATACTGTACTGAATACACTGTACTGTGAAATACATAAAGCATGAATACCAGCAGATATCTGTAAAATAATGGTATATATATATATTAGCAGATTTAAATTTAGTAACACTGTAATTTTAGTGTTTTTTAAACTAATATTTGTCAAAAAGTAATTTAAAAAAATTACATCTTTCAATCCTTAATATACATACATTTTCAAATAATTACAAACATTTGTAAAATAATGTCTTCTTTAAAATGAAAAATTGTGTAATTTAACGGTCAAACATTGTAAAAGAATGAATTACCATTTGTAAATATGTAGATTTTTGATAGGGTTTTTATGTACAGTTTTCTTTTTGTTTTGTTTTTTTTCGGCCTGTTTTTTTTTCTGGTTAAAATTTAAATTAAAATGTTTTCTTTTACCTCGTTTCTTATCAGTAATTTCACGAAACTGTGAAAATCTGTGAAATGACAGTGAACTGTTTCAGAAATCACTGTTACAAACTGTTTAAAAAATCAAACATTTTTCCCCCCTGTACTTCCATGGTTTATGCAGTCTATGAGTTTAGGGTGCCAGACAACTGATACAAAGCACCAAAAACCAAATTTGATTTTCATTTAGATTGACAAAATTCTGCAACATCCAAATTCCAACATCAGCCAAACAACTAAATGAAGAATTTACACAAGAACAGCTTTGCTGTTGCTGCCTCCTGTGTTTGGTCAGTTCAGTGTCTCCTTCAAACTCCGTCACTCCATCATTTGGTCCAGCCACGCTTTGTTTCTCTGCTGTGTGTGTGTGTGTGTGTGTGTGCGTGCGTGCTGTGTGTGTGTGTGTGTGTGTTGCTGGACATGGGCCATGCTGCAGACATATTCTGCACCTCAGCTGGGACTGGGTTTTGGCTGAAGCTGGTTGCTGAATCCTGCCGCTGCCAGCGGCTACAGGAGAGAACTGGACTGAAATAAGAAAAGTGGAGATTGAGTCACGATCACTCAGACGTATCAGACAGCTTAAAGGAAGCCACTTAATTTAAACACACCGATGAGTCACACACACACTGTTGTGGAAAGGTGCCATCAGCTTCCTCAGTTTCTCTTTTGTTGTGCAGTTGCTCTTGTCGTGTGAGCGATTTGTTCTTTGGTCTTTTTTTAATATTCTGACTCTGAGTGCAAACAGCAGGTGGCCAA